CGATATATTCATTCGAGTAATTTTTAGTTTGCTCAACCAAAACCTCACACTTTATGTTAAATGAAACTCGTAGCATAAATTCTTTGAAGGCAAGCATCTGCAACATAACAGTGATGATGAATGGTAGGTTGCGTAATGAACAAATGCATAATCACCTCTTAAGATTTACCTTAACAAAGCTATCGACAATACAGCAATAAAAACTGTGTTTAGGGGCAAAGTTATCGAAAAATTTTCAGTCGTTGTGCTCGGATAAGTTATAGTAGGTTGAGTGATCGACTTCGTCCGCGTTGATATCTTTGTTGATGATGGCTGAGAAGATGTGGCTGGTTGTGAAGCTTCGCTTGAAGTCACGAATGGCAGTGGAGAAGAAGATGTGAATTTAGGGGAAAAATGAGATGTTGACGGTATTTCTTCAGGTGAGGTTGTTGGCTCAGGGTTTGGTGGAGTTTCCGTTAATTTTGTCGAGCTTGCGGAAGTTATAGTCGGGTTTGAAGTTGATATAGGTGATCGAGGCCCTTGACTCTGTGTGACAGGAATTTTTGACTCTAACGTTGGTTCTGGAGTTTCTGTAACAGGTCTAGTCGGACCTGAAAAATTTGTAACTGGTTCTGAAAAACCTGAAACTTTCGTAGCAGTCCTGGTCGGAACTGACGTTGTCGTGATTTCCTCTGACGGTTTAGTAGTTTCAACAGACGTGGATTTCGTTTTTGTAGCAGGCTCTGAAGACTTTGTAATGTCAGTAATAGGCTCAATTGTTCTTGAAGTTCTTGTCGCAGGCTCAGAGGGACTTGGCGTTTCTGTAACAGTTGGTCCAGATGTTCTCGTGGAAAATTCTGTGAAAGACACAATTGTTACTGGGGTTCTTGTAGCACGTTCAGGAGTACCTGGCGTTTCTGTGACAGTCCCTGTTGGTTCTAGCGTCCATGAAGCAGATGTTGAGAGCTTTGGAGTTTCTGTGAAAGTCGTTGTTGCTTCTGGCGTTTTTGAAGCAGATGTTGAGTGTGCTGGAGTTCTTGTGACAGTCGTGGTTGGTCCAAACGTTCCTGAGGGAATCTCTGACGGTCCAAATTTTTATGCAAGGCACATGTTATTGGAGTTAGCATGTAAAGAGGTACCTGGCGTTTTCGTGACAGTTGTTGTTGATTCTGGCGTTTTTGAAACAACAGTTGTAGTTTTTGGATTCTCTGTGAAAGTCGTTGTTTCTTTTGGCGTATTTGAGGCAAATGATGAGATTTCCGGAGTTTCTGTGATAGACGTGGTTGGCCCAAACGTTTCCGAGGGAATCTCTGACGGTCCTGAAATTTTTATGCAAGGCACAGTTGTTGTTGGAGTTAGCATGTACAGAGGTACCCGGCGTTTTCGTGACAGTCGTTGTTGATTCTGGCGTTTTTGAAACAAC